CAGTACGTCTGTTCGTAATCGTCTGGCTCGTCCTCCGGCTCGCCAGTGTAGAACTCCGCATCGTAGTATTCTGCTGTGTCCTCGTCGACGAAATACTGCTTCCGTGCGTGATTCGGCTCGTGTATGATACTCTCCTGCCCGAACGTTATCTCCAACGCCTCGATAACTCTCTCTTGTGTGATGTTCTTGCCAACTACCGACATGATGACCGCCTTCTGGTCCGCGCGGTATCTTCCTCGTCGTAGCGTGAGCCAGCCTCGGACCTTCGCCGGTAGCTCGATGTCGTGCGTCCTGAGCTTGCGCTCTGCAGCGCGAACTCTTGAGATGTAGGCGAACAGCGTCTCGCCCTTGTACCGCTTGAGCTCGAAGAAGTACTCCTCAAAGTCGTCTGCGAGCTCCGTCCTATCGTCCATCTTGAAACGATTCCGTAATCTGGCCATGAGTTGCTTCGCCGTGTTGGGCTTGATGAGTTCGTCCGCTGAGAGGTCCGCCTCTCCATCCCAAGCTTCGCCTGTGAGACCCGCGCTGAGCATGAGAGCTGCTTCGCCCTCTTTCTTCTCCAATGTTTGCTTCGCGATGAAGATCATCGCTCCCTTCTCGTATTCTTTACATTTGTTGAGTGTGCCGTCGAACTGTGGAACTCCTCGCTCGGGTAGCATGTCCGCCATCGGCAGAGACATTCTGCTGAACTGAGACTGCAAGGGGTTAGCGTCCGACACGTGCTCAACGAAATCGAAACTGCCCCGGTCTGTGACATCGACTGTGAGGTCGTGTGTGTGGGCTGTCGAGAAACTGACCTGGAATCTCCTCTGCGATCTGCCGCAAAGTCGAAGCTGCTTATGGAGTTGGCGACCAGATCCGAAGAGAGGTGTCTGAGAGATGGAAGGTCGAAGCTAGAGCCTGGCTTACCAGGCTCCGCTACCAATATGAAATTATCAAAGCCCCGAAGTCTTCGATGGCAATAAGAATGAGGAATAAGAAGAACATCCGGGTTGTTTTCCACACCGCTGCTGAGTGACTCGAGGGCCCTGGAAAGGTTTGGGCCAAAGTGCAATGGTACGCTCGCCATGCTACAGTCATGCTCTGCACAATAACACGCGATGTACAGCGTATATCCCACAGGAGGAGGAGGAGGAGGAGGAGGAGGAGGAGGAGGAGGAGGAGGAGGAGGAGGAGAGCGTTCCAGTGGTGCCCAGGTCGCCCTGCAAGGCCGCAAGAGGCCCGAGCTGTGGCCCGAGAGCCACCACGGGCAGCGCTGGGGCCGGGTGGGCTCAGGGAGGGGGCTGCACCGCCCCTCCCCGTCGCCCGCGAATCACCGATCGGGGCCTCGGCAGCCCGACCCCGGCCAGGAGCGTGCGGTCTCGCCATCGGGGGCCCAGCGCCGATCCATCGGCGAGGCGTCGCCGATGCCGGGGCGGTGCCGTCCCCCCCCGGAAGTGGGTGCCCCCATCCTGGCGCTCCGCCGTCGAGGAGGGAGGGGAGGGGTCCGGGCCGCGGCCTCGGCGTCGTGTTTTTGTCTTCGGCACTTGCCCCCCCCCCCCTCCCCCGCACACCCGCCAGGACGAGCTTTGCAGGTTTGTCGGGACGCCCGTGGATGCAGTCGACGCGCTCCCGCGGCGAACAGCGCAAGTCGCCGTGTGTCCGTCTCCGTGTCCGTTCGGCGCTTTTTCTGCCCGTTGCACGTTTTTGTTAAAAAAACACGCGTCTGCGTGTTATCAGATCTGCCCTTTCGTGTACACAAGTGTGCCGGTGCATGTGCGCGAAAACACGATTGGAGCCACGATCCAGGGATTCCCGCGCATGGCATGACGCATGTTGTTCCCAGGTTCTGGGCGTGTAGGGTCACACTCGTCGGTTTTCTAGCAGCGGCTCTGCCCGCTGCTCGGCGGCTGCGTTTGCTGCCAGTTTCCAGGGCCCCCGCCGAGGGCACGCGCGGCTGACGGCGGGCGTCGGGCCGCAGGCCCCCGTTCCGGATGTCGGGGGGTGGCCGGGGTTGCCCTCGTCATCGAGCCCGCAGAGCGCAGGGGGAATTTTCATACGCAGGTGTTACAATCGTCGGGCGAAGAGAACTATGCACATGCACCTATCCTGGCAAGGCCCATCCTTGACCCAAGATCGGTGCATATGCCTTCCTGGCCAAGGTAGGAGGGCGTATGCACCGATCCTGGGCTCAGGATGGGCCTGGCCAGAATCGGTGTATGTGCATAGTTCTGTTTCCTCGAAATCGGCGGTTGTTCGTGGTGTGGCTGCGGCGAGGGTCGGTGCCATCCGCTGCAATCTGTCTCAGGGTTATATTGGCGTCCTTTGGGGGCAAGGGCTACACGCTGCCACCATCCAGGTCATCCTGGGCTCTGTGCAGGCCTATCTATGTGATGGCAGGACGTTGCGTACATCATCCCCGGACCCAGGAGGGCCCTCGCCAGGGCTGGTGATGTCGCACGGCTGCCGCTTCCCAAGAGAACTAGGTAACCGCAGGAACGCGAAGACGATCGCGTTTCGC